AAATAAAAAAAATATTATACCCTAACATCCAATTACAGCGCTCCTAAGTTGACTTCCGTCATTTTCTACTCGAGGAAATGCCTTACGAAGTCAGGAATATGACAGTTGTTTTCCATTCGTTTGATGGGTTTGAGCTTTTGATTTTGCAATTTGATAAGGGACTTTCCGTTTTGAATTTTCCTTGGAGATCGGTGTTTTTGTTATTTTACTTTTTCCTTCACCTGCCTTGGGTAGACGAAAGGCCAACCTAAAGCCGTAAAAATGTAATACTACTTTTTCCCTATACTGTGTCATAAAGATATAATGAATTATTATGATACCATCAATGCAATGCTAATTAGTTGTGAAACATTTTGCTATAAGGAAAACTGTCTGTCTCCATTACTTATAGAATTATGGATCATTAAATGTCCCCACCCCTTCATGCTGGTTTACCTCTTTCTGTACTTCTTTAACATACGGCATAAAAAATTGCAGAGCTTGTTAAAAAATACATTATTCTGTCTTGAGATGATAAGACAAAGATGTTGGACACTTAAAACATTAAATATGCAAAAACCACAGCTGTTAAGTTGCCCATGTTGCATGCATACATCTATAAAAAGCTGAATTGTGTTCATTGTGAGTATTCATTTCCAGAAATAGTCCTTTTAAAAGTAGAAAAGGATAGATTAGATATTTTTGATATATTAGAAAATAGAACCTATAAAACGAAGCACCAATGAAATTCTTGCTGCATGAACTGCCAAGAATATGAACAAATTTAAAACATGAGAGTATAAATTCTATCTAAATTTAGCCTTAATTATGCCTCTTTTTTTCCTTAGATAAACTACTTTAACACCGAAAATACTTCTATTTTATCTAAATATTGATTTACTCTATATATAGTACAAACTAAACCAGACAGTTTCCAATTTTAATAGATTGTATCTTGAGAAATACCTAAGTGATACATTTAGGACATTACACAGCCAAATAGCCAAATATTTCAGTAATAAATATTTGTTGCGACATAAATTCTGGTATACCCATCAATTTGAGTTATCCTGATGACTCAGCACTTTTCTAAACATATTACATGTCCCGGTAAATAATATCTATTCTTGGTTATAAAAATCAAATGCTTTAAAAATAGTGCAATATAACTGAACTCTGATTAATTTTGATTTCCCTTGCTATCGTCAGTATAGGGAAAACGTATTTATTCTTCCATATAGGCGACAATACTAACATTTTCTAAACTTACCGCTTTGTATAACAGAAACCTGGACAAAACAGTTATGTGTGATATTAGTATTTTATTATTCTAATTTAGAAATTGAAGTCAAATGGTATCATGACCATCTTCGAACGGAGCTTATTTATTGTATCCATGCCCACCGTCATTTTACATCAACTCTATGAAAATTTGGAAGCCTTTTCGAATAATTCTCAAGAAAATATTTCAATTTGTTACAAATTTTATATTGTAAAAAATTAAAAAAAAACACTGCAGTTATTCATAAATAAATAATAAAAATATATTATACCCTTACATCCAATAACAGCGCTCCTAAGTTGACTTCCCTCCCCTCTGGTACACGAAAGGCCAACCTAAAGCCGGAGAAAATGTAATACTACTTTTTCCCACCTATATTTTACCCGAAATTTACTATTTTTTCAACGAAAACAAAATTATTACGTGTATCATCACAATATTTTTTATTCTGACTACAGCAATAACACACAGTCGACGTGAGTGCCACATTTTATGTGTGATCGAATTATAAGTTGTTGTGAAGATATTTAGCAATTAAAAGACACATTAAATCTTATTTTATGATTGATGAATAGTCGTGTCCATGAACCAATCCCAGCAAAACTTACTAATACCATTGTCTATAGGTGATTTTATTTCTTGTCCGTATATAGTTTCTATAACTACTTTCCAAGCCTCGCTGTATATAAGTGATATGTTTAAGTCAATCAAATCGATCTAAAGAATTAAATGGATTACATCAAGTAAAAATACTTTTTGCAGTATTGCCGTAAGGAAAACACGAGGATCCAGTAGTTTATCGATGTTCAAAGTGGACATATCCATTAAGAAAACACAAATCACAGAAAAAATTTAATCTGAGGAAATCGCATGAACTCCTAGTGAAGTGGGAACGGGTTAGCGACAGGGTGCACGTCTCCTGCATCACCCGTTCACACTCAATAAAAATGTCACAATTGGTATTTTTACAGTCAGACGACTATTCTTGTATCTAAAGATATATGACCGCGTAAACATGTCGCCTTTTTAAGGGTCTTAAGAATTTAAAGACAGACACATCATATCGGTCAACTAATTTGTGATCAGTTTTTTTATAAGGGATAAAAAGAGAAATAACATCGAAGCTTGTGACGAGCTGAACGGCTATGAAAATTTCCAGGATCGATTGCCTCGTATGACAATCGAATCGACATTTTAAAAAAATAACGTTTCATTAGATCTTGATTGTTTAACATTATTTTAATTTTCATAAATTAACTGTGTCGGTTGCCTTAGACTTCAAACCGACTTCAATCAATTCTAAACGATAAGCGAAGTCTGTTATAATATTTTACAATAAACGACGGCCGTGTACTAGAAAAACTATCTCCATGGAGACCAGGATACTTTTAATATAAAAATAAGAAAATGTGGTATGATTGCCAATGAGACAACTCTCCACAAGAGACCAAATGACACAGAAATTAACAACTATAGGTCACCGTACGGCCTTCAACAATGAACAAAACCCATACTGTATAGTCAGCTATAAAAGGCTCCGAAATGACAAATGCAAAACTATTCAAACGAGAAAACTAACGGCCTTGTTCACCGTACTGCATATAAAGCACTCCATTTAAACATTCCAAATTCCTAGAAAAGAATCGTGAATCATGTTGAAACATTCAGTTAAAGAACTATTTTGAACTCATGCCTATTCACTTTGAGGTAAACCAAAACGGCACAGTTTTCTGCATTTAATGCGTTGTGTGTTAACTGTGCTGGATAACCGTTTGATTAAACAGCTTGGGAAAATTTTGTAATGTTAAATATAAGTGTATTGGTTTAAAATAATACTATATCTTTTGAAAACACAACTAGAACTACATGTATCTAAAACAACTAGCCTGACCAAAAACAAATATTTGGAAAAAGGATAAATCTTTCCATCGCACATAAGCGACGTGTTACTTATTGTTTTATCATTTTGTATAATTCTTATCCTACCGTAGTCTATAATCGGTCATAACGTTGGTTCGTTTGGATTTTGTTATTGTACTTATCATACGGGAAAACACCGCATTGACGTCACTACGCTAATACCAGCGTATAAAATTAGCGCAGAATACATTTTTTCTACACTTCTGAATAAAATGATATTTCTAAAGATATGTTTTCATTATTATTCTTAAGTATTGTACAAAAATGCAGATTTTCTAATGGCCATTTCAAACCTGACTTACGAATGCCTAAAATCATTTCAGAACTTAAGAAAACCCCTCTTCCGGCCTCCATTGCTTTGTTTACATTCCATTGAGCGTCATCAATCTTAATGGCAGACCAAACAGGCCAAGCAAATCGTATTTTTAAGAATTTCAAAATGACAAGCACCTTACGTCTTACGCGATTTTCTCGCGAAAAAAACCATCCAAATTGAAAAAAAAACTTTGGGAAACAAACGATAATCATGCCATATTTTTGTTCAGGAATATAGAGTAGGTTAATAAAAAACAATATACATATATTTTTCATAAAAAAAAAATGTGGTTCAATATAAAGAGATCGTTATTCTGACCATAAGTAAATAATCATATAAAATTCCATTGATGTCAAATTTCATGGCTAATAATGAGGTTTCCTATTGAATAAACCCCCAATTTATTGCAAACTATTTCAAAGCTATATCATACAAACAAATAATATAATTGTCTTGTACTAAAAAATCACCTAATTGACAGTAGAGCAATTTGATTGGATATAACGATTCAATGTGTCGCGTGGTTTTGAAGCCATTAGAATTTGAATGTAAACAAACCGGGTCAGCTGCTCCAGTATGGAACAACATCGTACTTTCAATGACTGAGAAACAATATTGAGTAACCAAGCTTGACAATACACAGTAATAAAAAACAAAGCTAAGTCTACAGAAAATAAGATAAAAAATGGCCTTAAGTGCACGACTTACCACCATCCCAGGTAGCACAAAAACATTTTATTGATATTTTTAAAATATATTGCAAAATGTCACAAAAATATCATTCAGAAATATTGTTTTGAAGTGAAATGTATGGCTGTACTAATGTGAATAGCATATTTTCAGCTGATATTTGTTCTGAATGTTTAAAGAACATTTTTTTTAAATATTTTGATTTTATATTTAAATAACATAACTTTGATATCATTCAGTGTCAATTGAAAATATCCAGACAAGCTATATATCAAACGTTATCCAAAAATATCCTTTTCATGTCTAAAATATGTTTTATGGATGTCTACCAAATGTTTTTAAAATACCAGAGGCAAGTTTAGGTAGAAATATCTCTTGAAAATGTAAATTAAATATTTCAACAATGTTTTATGGATGTCTTCCCAATATTCTTAAAACATCTTGGTTAAATGTTTGTAAAAAACATTATATAAATATTCAAAAAACGTTTTATTTTCAGGCCAACTCTCAGCTTGCAAATATATCATGCATATTTAGACTAACATTTATCAGCTCTCCTCCAGGGCACCTGTTTCTTGTTCTATCATTATATGTAGTGTAATGTAGACTGTTTATTTTTTTATTTTGTTTTGCAATGCGATTGTTTTTCTCCGACTTGTTGAAATTTGAATTTTTGTTTGATATTTTTCAAACTCTTTCAAACAATTAAGAGCAGTCAAAGCATGACATTGTATACTGCCAACACAAAAGCATTGATAGAATAGCTTATTCATATGACAGGACGACTGTCAATGAATATTGAATTTTCCTGAATAGCATTTTAACATTTTATTAATTATTCAGAGTCTGTATCTTCTACTGCGAGCCTTCTCTTCTTGTTAGCCTTCTGAAGAAGAAATAATACATAAATGTTTAAACTCAATTGAGATTTAAGCTTGTAAGCCGATATCAAGTCAAACATTATGAAAAAAATTGTATTATAATAATTAGATTACAGGTATGCCGTTATTTTGATTATGATATAGATTCAGGAAACAGAACTATGTCAAAAAACGTTCTAACTAAATAGAGAATACAAAGTCAAATCTAAATCAAAGTGACACTTAGCATTGACCAATGTTGACAGTAATATTAAACATTTTATGCATATATATCTGCTAATTTCAAATCCGATGTAGCATAAAGGATGGCTATTATGTTACTTACTTAAAGTAATTCATTCTGGGCTATCAAATGGTAGAATGCATTTTGTCCCATCTCCATTTCCATGCATTTTGAAGCCAGAATATTTTCAATGATTATTAAAATTCATTTTGCACTCTGCTTTAATTTGTCTTCTGTAGTTCTCAAATACCAGATCTATAAATTTATATGAGAATGTAAAATTGTATATTAAAATGAAACTCTACTTCAAGTAATTCATACACGAATCTGTCTGCAAATTTGTATAGACTTTTTCCGTATTATATTTTTTTCACATTTTACCCCTTTTTTCACATATACATGCCATTTCATTTTGTTTAAAATATATCTTTTTCACTTTTCCATGATATCCTAATGTTTAATTATAACACTGCATACATATAATTTAAAGAAGTAGCGTCTTCAACTTTTTGTGATATTTACTCTTACAAACTATTCAAATACAGATTTTGTTTTGCCAAAGTTTTGCCGAGGACAAAAAAACAAGATTCAGTCGAGTCCGTATATCAATTACGATTTTTTAAAATTACAACTTACATGTTTCTTTCTCTTTGAACTGTGATTTTCTCTTTTAGTTTTCTTTGTTTTCACTGCTTTCGGAAGTTACAAATAGACGACCGGAAATAACCTCAAAAATGACCATCCCATTACATTTAGATTTTCTATAATCTTAATTACCATAGCAACTATCTTTGAAATGTGTCCAACATCTGGTTAACCTTATCAGAATGTGTTTGATTAACAGAATGGTTGTATCAAATATCACTCTGTATATATTTGTTTATTATGTTGCATCAATTAAAGTTGAACGAAAAAAGTTATAATAATACACGATTGAAATGTTCCTCAAAGGTTAAAATTATCAAGGAGATTATCTCATATAACCTCTTTGAAATTATTAAAGCTCTTCTATAAAAATGAGGAGTCATTCATGTTAATGTGATATCTAAAAAATATTTAACACTTGCTTCACTCAAATATTACTAACAAACATTTGACAAACATTTCTGTCATACATCTTACAAATATCTAGAAGACATATTATGTTAGAATGTTTATAAAAGGGTCTTCAACTAATATTTTCTAAATAAAATCGAAAAAATATTTTGTTAAGACGTTATTTAAATATTCATTAGATATTACCAGCTTATATTTTTAATTAGGACAAGAAAATTATTTAGATGTTACATCAAAAAGATATTTTATTATACATCAAACCTATGCTTAACGCAGATATTAATCAAAAATGTTTTATAAACATTTCTTTTACACATCTTACAAATATATATTATAATTATACTATAAAAATGTCCATCAGATATTGTTTTAATATTGTAAAGAAATATTTCTTCGATATAAAACTGTTCTCATTTATAAAACTGTCTTTTAAACGTTTAAAAAACATCAGCAAAAAATATTTATTTGTTTATTATAAAAAAATATTTACAAAAAATGTTTTTATATTTGCAATCAAACATTGGGATGAAATGTTATTAGTAAAATATCATTCACACCTAATTTCTGATGTAAACAAAATGTCTTTAAAATATTTTTGTGAAAATATTTCTTATAAACATATATACAACCAGTCAATAATATCATGAAAATATTTTGTGTTAGCTGGGATTGCGGGATATATGATTTGCATATCTACAAATACTTGAATTGGATTGGTTCATTATCATTTTTTCCCTTGGTTTACACTTCGATAGACCATGTTGTCGAAACTATTTTCGTAACCTTCACTGTGATCTATTCATGCGCGATACAGAATTCTGACTTTAATTCATTTTGTGAGTAAATCGCCCCAGTTTACACATCAATAACCTCTTGATAAATGTGTTTAATCCTATAATGGAAAATCAATCACCTAATACATGCAGATAGTAAATCAATAGTTGATAGATATACTAACTATAATCACGAATCCAATAGTCTTCCAGATATATTTTAGTGATAAATGTATTGCTGGATGTGATTTATTTATCTTTTTAGCCAAAAGAACTGTTAAACGAATCGGTGCACTGGGCCCTGTTATAGGTGGTGGTGTTGGAGCTGCTGTTATCATAATAGTCATAGTTGTAGTCATCATATACATAATTAGGAGGTAAGGTCATATGTGCATCAATATTAATTTACCTGCAAATACTTTTGTAATATTGCTTAAACAGAGAAAAGATGCATTACAAACTTTGAAATTCCAATTTTACTTCATTGAAATACCACATAAGAAATTTAACCAAAAAAAATTTGTTATAGCAAACATAATTCATAACTTGAAGATTCTGAAAATGAGTTCTTATTGTATAGATGTAGTGTATATCACACGGAAACATTTTTTTAAAAACATGCATATGTTTCGCATGATGATGCTTCCATAAAATGAGTATTATTAATCAGATAGATATGTTATGTCGTAATAAAGCACAAAATGTTCCATTCAGAAATTGTGCCGACTCTTAAAATTTGAAATGTTTTTGTTTATATACATTGTATATTTGTTCTTCTTTGTAAAATGTGTTAACCGAACTGCTGAAATATCGTTAGCGTGACTACATAACTGTGAACACAACTTTAAAATACTAACCAGTATGCCAGCCAATAGGCAAAGCATGACAACATTGATTCATTTTTCAAATGATGGGCTTAGTGAAGGCCTTGACGGCGCTGCTGTGAATCGGAAATAAAAAAACCTAAGCGGTCTATTAACACTCATGCTTCATCTTATTTCGAAGACTGCAATGTAGCGTATATCCTAAAATTCAACACTACAATTGACTGAGAGTTACATTGTTACTGTTTCTGAACTCACAAGAGATATATTTTGGCGCTCTTTTATCGCTAGATACTAGACATAGGGTACAGCAGTTTATCGATGTTCAAATCTCATAAATCGATTTATAAGACAAACAAAAGTAACTAACAAAAACTGAGGCATTTGCATTAACTTCATAAGAGCGAGACCGAGCAAAAAAAGAAAGAAAAAAAAAACACTTTGTAAATTTAATACGTCCGAACGCTTTTTTTATTAACTTTCATCAGGAACTCTAAAAGCCGAACATTTAAAAGCCAAGGATATATAGGACCCCTTTGTGAGATATGTGACCAAAAAGGACCTAAAAATAATAGCTGTATCCTTATAAGGTCAACTTTGCCTGACAGAGTTGACACCTTAGTTCTTTTATAATTTCAAAATTTATAAACAGACAATTTTATAAAGGTTTGTTGAAATCATGTCAATACGGAAGTACTGACCTCTGTGCTGATGATACCCTCGATTAAACATCTTCTGCTATGAATACACCATCCACCATGCAAATTTCGACTCAGACAAAATGTCTCAATACAGAATAGATAATAGGACACAATTTGTAAAAATTGAAAACAAAACTTTATAAATGTCATGCTTTCGAATTGTTTTCTTGATTTACCTACGTCAGGAACTCCCAAAGCCGAATATTTGAAAGTCAAGGATGTTAATTTAAAGAAATAACGACTTTTATGAAATCCAAAGATGACTGCGAAAATGTGGTGCTAGTGAGTTGTGACACAGACATATCGTATCGATCAATCAACTCGTGATGGTAACCGTAAAACGTATGTCGTGTCGATTTAAGGGGTTCCGTCTCATAACTCTGTTGGAGCAGTTAGTTTTTGTGTTAGGAGCATACCTCTGCTAATGCAGTTTGTATAGCATGCACGAACGTAACGCATCAATTGAGAATAGAAAACGCCGTACGATGGAGCAGATTTTATGTTCTGCTGAGAAATGGAAAGTTGAAATTATCCCGTTTGTCGTATATTCTATAGTTTGAAGTCATCAATCTGTGTCAATGTAGAAGAAAAAATTTAGATTTCAAGCAGACCTTCTAGTTTCTGTGGTATCCTTAAATTCTGGTTCACTGGATATATGAGATGTAAACACTCACTGAAATATTGGTGTTTAGTCCCACACCATCATTAATATATCTGAATGTAAAATTAAAGAACTTTGCAAGATTAGTTTTTGTCTTTGAGACGGTTTTGTATGAATTCCTCTTCCTATTAGTACAAAACCAAGTCGGCCAGTAGGGGTAAAGAAGTATTACTCATTGGAACAATGTAAGATTTTTTATGACATAAAACAAGAAATTTGTATCTATTAAGATTCCCATTAATGAAAAAACCTGTTTAATAAGAAGATACAGGCAATCATTCAACTAAGCATGGAAAATTGTAGTGTAGCTAGTTGAAAAATACAATCTTTTGATATTATTTAAAAAAAGAAAACTGTAATGATTATGGTTGAAGATTTTGGAGAATGTCTTTAAAATTAAAAAAAATCCTCATCTCATTTTCATCGCTGCTTGAGTTAATTAATTAATCGTATTATATTGAAAGCCATAACATTATATAATTTTTTTGATAAAGGAATTAGGTATTTATTTTTATTTACAACGACACTTACCGAAATGTCAAATTCAAATCTGTATTAATTTTGTAACTAATTAAGCATGTGACAAATACACATATAGAATACAATAAAATGCCATTACGGTAGATCAAGTAAATATATCAAGAATGCCCATGACCTAAGCTTAAGTTTTCATGACATTTGTTTATATAAAATCCATGTGTGTTGACTTAAGATGGTGTTGATGGGTTCAAAACCAAGTCTATCATTTAAAATTCAGGTTGTAGTTTTGTATTTTGCTTTATTAAATAATATGTTTAAATTGGCCTTAATATGCTAAAATCGGTTTATTCTGGTTATTCCTACATTTTGAATTTTAAAATTTTATGTTGGAGTACCCAGAATTTTTATGTAAACAATGGGATTATGTAGGATTATGTTGTAACAACACTAAACTAATGAACCAAGGTAAATCCAGGTAAATCCTGTGGAAAATAAAGAAAAAGAATAGTTTCTATTACAATATTTCATCTAATTTCATTGCACATTTTGTGTAAATAATATTCAAAAGCACAATATTAATTTATAGGCACAATATTATTCACAAACAACTGAAATTATTTAGGTGAAAACATTAATATATACAAGTAAATAATATCAATTAAAATATAAATATATTTAAGGGGCACTAGCTACGAGATATATAAAAAATATGAGGTATGATTTCTTTGTCCAATCATTAATGAAAGTGAAATAGTGAAATGATAATTCGCTTTTAGTAGCCAATATGGTTCAATTTTGTCAAATTAAGCTAAGAAGCATTGATGATGAATTATTCACTTGCAAGTGAATAATTAGACCTCATTGAATCCGTATTCATGTGAACTTTGATTTAACCCCTGAGCTAGAGATGAATAACGCACGAAGTGTGCGTGTTCGGTTATTTAAAGGAAAAGAATGTCAACATTGAAAGTGAAACAAAAGTAAATCATTTGATTGACTGATTCGATCCACAAAAAATCATTCTTATACAGGTAAAATCGCTGATTAACATATATTTTTAATCTATAATATAAAATTAAACAGACCTAGAAAAATCCAATTACACGAGTTCACTTTCTATTTATATCTATATTTATGTTTATATCGCTTATATGACCATCGGAGGTCTTCGGAGGTCAACTCGATAGTTAATTAGATGGGGTCGACCATTTGAACTAAAACAAAACCTCTGGTCAATTGTTTTTTTGACGTGGTGCAACATTTCCCTCATTGTTTGGCATTATATTTTATTTTAAATATTCCCTTTCAGATTGTGTTCTTCCCTTAATTGATTGCCAGATTATTTTTTTCCTAAAGTTCAGAATCAAGTTATTTATTCCCGAAAAAAAACATGCCCTCCTTCCTCCGAGTTTTAAATGGTCGTTCCATAAGTAAACGAAAATAAAAGACAACTTTTAGTTCATTCATGTGTTTACAAGAATATTTTTTATCATAATTTACCAAACAATTATAAGAATGTCATAATTCAATAGTTAACATTCGTGTCTACGAACACACAACCTGTGCAGTCCCTTCGCGCAACGTGAACACTCGGTCCTTGCTCTTCTTCGTCTGCCGTTTTTCCTGTCGGAACACACAGGACAGTCCTTTTCTTTCCTTTCAATAACCTTTCGTATTTTTGTCGTGGTCCAGGATTCTGTTTAATAGATGTTCCTCAGTGAGCACTTCGATTACTTGTTTCACGAATTCAAATCTTGATACTATTGGGTTATGGGATGTGTGCTGATAATACAGAATATAAGAGTTAAGCAGTATTCTGTGAAACATGTGCAATATAATTTTTTTCCAGACTTTGGTTTGTTTTCTGTG